GGGGATGAGGGGATACGGGATGGGGATACAGAGCAGGGGGATGGGAGGGATATGGAACAGAGGGACATAGGGTGTGGATGCGGGAGCAGAGAGCAGCTCCATGGGGGGACAGGGATGTGGGGACTGAGGATGGGATAGATAAACATGGTGCAGGGGGGCATGTGGTGACAGGGCAAGGGGACAGGGGACATGGGGACATAGGGAGCAGGTGATGTGGGACTGGGAAAAAGGAGGGATGTGGATGGGAGTCAGGGAGCCTGGGGAATGTCGATGCCAGAGGGTGATGTTGCTGTCCCTGGGAGGTGACAGAGTGACACGTGTCCCCCCCAGCGCTTCAGCATGGAGGGCATCTCCAGCATCCTGCACTCCGGCCTGCGCCAGACTTTTGGTCCTACCACCACCGAGAAGCAGGTGCCCTTTGCCTCCTAAACATATTGCCCAAATTTGTGCCCTTTCACTCCCCCTGCCCGCAGTCCCTATTTCCTTGCATCCCCCAGCGCCCTTTTAAAATGATTTTCAGTTTTACAACCCTGCTCCATCTCTTATACCCTCCTAATGCATCCTGCAAACATCACTGGTTTTCACCCCAAAAAGTCCTCCCTGAGCAGGGATGGATTTGGATGGGGTTTGCAGCACCCAGAATCACAGGGATTTTGCAGGAGTACTCTATTTCTCCATGAATTTGGGATGGGATTTGTCTCAAAGCAGTGCAAAAAATAGGCAGTTTTGTGCCACCTGGGTGGTTTTTTGGGGTGGCTTTTGTTTTCGCAGTACCTGAACACGGTGATTCCCTATGAGAAGAAGGGCTCACCGCCCTCCGTTGAGGACCTGCAGATGCTCACCAACAGTGAGTATTTCCAGGAGCTGCCATTTTGGGGCAGAATTGAGCATTTTGGGGACTCAAAGGCACATTTGCATTGCTGCAGCAGCTGTGGTTTGGAGTATCATTGTAGCACAGTCAGTTTGGGGGATGATCACCTTTTTTTCTGCGTAGTTGCAGAATGGGCAAATTGAGGTGCTACTACCTGTGTTGCATCATCATTGCAACAAACCTATTTTGGAGGAGAAATACCTGTTTTGCATCACTGCAGCACAGCTGGTTTGCAGCCAAAACCAACATTCCAATTTATGATCTTATACCAGTGCTGATTTGGGGCTAATTTACCTGTTCTACATTGCCATGGATTGGCTAATTGGGGGTGAAAGTGCTTCTTTTGGATGCTTCCAAAAAAAACCCTGCTGCATTGTGGGAAATTCTGTGGTGACTGTGGGGCTGTTTTGCGGGGGGAAAATGGCATTTGGGAGGCAGCAGGGGTGGGCTCACAGCTCCATTCCCCCTCACAGTCCTGTTCGCCATGAAGGAGGGGAATGAGAAGGTGCCCACACTGCTCACAGATTACATCCTCAAAGGTACCTGTTCCCCTCCTGCCTGCCCTGGGCACACCTTGGATGCAGCTCCTGTGAAGCTCTTGTGCCTCTGTGGTTTCACCATGGATCCCTCCTGCCTCTCCCTTGGGTCCTTTGTGCATCCTCTGCCCATCCCTCATGCAACTTCATGCATCCCTTACACATTTCCCATGCATCCTCCATGCATCCCTGGAGAATCTTGGATCCATCCTTTGTGCATTCCTCCTGCATCTCTGGTGCTTCCTTTGTGCCTCCTCCATTCCTTCAGGATCCTGGGTGCATCTCATGCGCATCCCTCAGGCAGTTTGTGTTTAGGCTTCATGTGTGGGGATCCCTTTGCACCTCCCTGCACCATCCTGGGGCCAGTCTGCTTCCTCCAAGCAACCTCACCCCCTCACTGCCCCCATGCCCCATGGAGCAGCCCTCCTCTGCCTCCCTCAGGCATACCTGTTCATCTTCCTGAGCATCTTTGGGCATCCCTGTGCCTCTCCCACACCCCTGCTGTCCATCTCTCAGGCAGCCTCCTGAGCCCTCGTGCACATGAGCACACTCATGTGCCCCTGGGCGTCCTTGTGCCCACTCGTGTGTCCTTATGCAGCCCCCAGGCACTCCTGTGCACCCTGTGCAGCCCAGATCAAGCCTGGGGGTCACTGTCCACCCTTGAGCAGCATTTCATGTGCTCACATACTGTGCAGCCTTGTGCATCCTCATGTATCCTGGTACATCCCCATTCACATCCTGCATCCCTGTGCATCCTTGTGCCTCCCTGTGCACACTTATGCATCCTCATGCATCCCATGCACACTTGTCTGTCCCTGTGCACACATCCTCAGGCATCCCTGTGCATCCTCCTGCATCCCTCTGCACACACGTGCATCCTCATGCATCCCTCTACATCCCCCATGCACACTCATCTGTCCCTGTGCACTCATCCTCATGCACACTCCTGCACCCCCATGCATCCTCCTGCATCCTTGTGCCTCACAGTGCACACTCCTGCATTCCTCTGCATCCTCCTGCATCCCTGTTCATCCTTATGCTTCCATGTTCACACTTCTGCATGCCTGTGCATCCTCCTGCACCCTCCTGCATCGCTGTGCATCCCTGTGTGCATTCCTGCATCGCTGTGCATCCTCCTGCATCCCTGTGCACACTTGGGCATCCTCATGCATCCCGGTACATCCTCATGCACACCCATCTGTCCCTGTGCACGCTCCAGCACTCCTCTGCATCCTCCTGCATCCTGTGCCCGCTCAGGCCTCCCTGTGCCCGCAGTGTCCCCTGTGGGGTGCCCCCCAGGCCTCTCTCTTTCTCTCTCTCTCTGCAGTTCTCTGCCCGACCTGACGTGGCGCTGCCCTCGCACCCCCACCCCGGCGCCCCCCAAAATGGGGCCAAACCCGAGGAAAACGGGTCGCCCGTGGCTCCCCCCTCCCTGCACTCCTCCCTTTGCACAGCTGGGAATAAAGGATTCCTTACATTAATTAGGCAACTGGCCTCCGGTGTCTGTGTCCCCTCTGCTCGTGGCAGCGCTTCGCAACTTTCTGGTAGAAAAATGCAGTTTTTAAGCCAAAAAATCCCAACGTGGACTTTGCTGCAGTGCTCATGAATATTCTGGAATCTATAAAATATGCAGATTTCTGGCTAATGAGCGGCTGGGTGCTCAGAGTTGGCTGCAGCTGTTGGCATCCCAGGGGTGAAAGTCAACTCAGTGAAATTCCATTCTCAGAGATTTTTTTCCCCATTTTTTTTACACTTTTCTGCAACCCCATTTTCTGCTGAAAATTGTGCAAAAATCACCTTTCCCCCCCCGCCCCAGAATATCAACACATTAATTAGCAATGGCTTTTTAGGAAATGGGGGAGCTTCTGTTTTCTGTTTGGGGGAGAATTGCTCTGGTTTGGGTCTGTAGCTCATTTTTGGGAAAAGTCCCTAATTTGGGGGCTTTTTGCTCATTTTTGGAGTGTTGTCGTTCATTGTAGGGCAAATTCAGTCATTTTGGTGGAAGGCACTTATATAAGAAAGTCACTCATTTCCAGGAAGATCACCAGTTTGGGGGGCACGTCACTATTTTGGGGGATTATTACTCATTTTGGGGGAGAATTGTTCATTTAGGGGAAACATAGTGGGGACCATCATGGTTTTGAGAAGATCATGTCTGGGTACCACTTCAAAAAAATCCTTTCATTTTGGAGGAGCATCCCTCTTTTGGGGAGAGCTTCATTCATTTCTGGAAAATGCTACTTTTTGCTGGGGGCACATCCCTCATTTTTGGAAAGCACAACATATTTTGAGGCAGCATCACCCCTTCTGGGGTGGGTCACTCCTCTTTGGGAAGCATCACTTCTTTTGGGGGAGAATTATTCTTTTTGGAGAATACAACTCATTCTGGGTGAACATCACACATTCTGGGGTGAACACTCATTTTGGGGAGAATCACCCATTTCAGGGGGAGATTTGCCCCTTTTGGATCACCAAACTGGATTTTGAAGAATGTCCCTCATTTTTGGAGACTGTTAACTCATTTTGGGGCTGAACATCACCCATTTTGGGGTTGTGTTTAACATTTTAGGGAAGATCACTCTTTTGGGGGAAGAATCACTCATTTTTGGAGAACACAGCTCATTTTGGGGTAACCATCACTGATTTGGGAGGGCGGGGTATAATTAATTTGTGGGCAAAATCCTGTTGGAGCTCAGTTGGGGTGGAGGGGCATCTCTCATTTTTGGGGGACTGTCACTTAATATAAATCAAATTTTCTCCACATCACTTAACTACCAATTTGGGTCCATTCACCCATTGGGTGGGGAAGTTATTCCAGCATTTTGGATCCTCTCTGCTCACAGGAAGAAGCTGCCAAGAAAATACAGCTGCAACCCCTCATCTCGTAGCACTTTATAATAAATGGCCTGGAATTAATACTAAATTACAATGAATCCTTTATGAAATTACAGATTACATTCACACCAGATCAGTATTGAAAAATAGGCTTTTCTGCCTATTGCATCACTCGTGGTTTTTACCCTGGCTCCTGTTTGGGTTTTTTAATCAACCCTTTAAGAGCCAAAAAAAAAAAAAAAAATAAAAAGGACAATACAGGCAAAAAGCCACAAAGAAAACTATCCTTCTTATAGAATCCTACATTTAGAGCAGGAACCTGCAGAAGAAAATTTCTTTATTTTTTGCCCTGTTTTACTTTTGTGTTTTCCTCCCATGCCACGTTTTAAGGCGAAACAGACCCTTTTGTTGGCATTTGAAAATAAAAAAAGAATGCAAATTCAGGGTTTTTGGCTGTTGCCCTCCCCCCATGGTGCTAAAACTGCACCATTTCCCCATGTGGAGGGACAATTCCAGGGAGAAACCATCTTTCAAGCAACAATATTGAGATTCCTTCCACCCCTGTGAATCCAGGCGGGGGGGGGGGGTCACCATCCAATTTTGGGTGAAATCTTGCATTTTTTTAAACTTATCTTTTTCCCTATTTTTTCCTGAATCAGCGCCAAAGCTCCTTGGAAAAGTTTCACTCCCAGCAGCCTTTTTCCCAGCTGTGCATCCCTTAAGGACGAGAATGGGGTGAGTTGGGGTTTTTTTCCAGATTCAACGGGGTTTTAGCACATAAATTAAAGGAGTTGGAGGAATGTCCTCCCTTTTCCAGAAAGCTGTGTCCGGAGTCACCAAACAGCCGCAGCACTGGGGGCAAAGTGGGGGGGTTTGGGCAACCCAGTTGGTGGAGCACCAAGCCCTCCTCAGATCCAGCAGAACTTGCACTCGCCGGTTATTTCTCTTCCCCCTCTGTGCCCATATTTATGCCTGTGAGTAATCTTTTTGGGGGAAAAAAACCCAAAAAGCATTAAGTCCTGGAGTTGGTGTGGTTTTCCTTCGCACCAAGAAATCCATGGGGTGGACAGGGTGGCCCACCGTGGAAAACCCGTCGCCCAGCGGCATCCGAACATCGCGCAGGGAAAACACCGTTCCCTAAAAACGCTTCTGCTTTACCAAAAAAATGAAGGGGAAAACGAAAGATAAAACCTGAAATAAAAGATTAATTTGGCCACAATATGTGCCTTGTAAACATGTGTCCTTCACTTCCACGTGCTGGCAGGGTTGTGCCCGTGCTCCCGTGCGCAGCCGGGGCAGCCGCCGGCGCCGCCAGTTTGCTTCTCTCTCGCGAATTTTTTTGTTCTTGCCTTTTTTTTGTTTTGTTTTTGGCATTTTGAGGGGGGGAATTTTGTGTCTGGTGGTGTCAGTGATTTGGGGTGGCTGCAGGAGGAGCTATTCCAGCGAGTCACTGTGGTCCAAGCCGAGATCAGTGCCAGGTGCTGCTGGGAGGCCACCGGGCTCTTCCTCGAGCTCTTCCTCCTCTTCCTCCTCCTCCTCCATCTCGTCCTCGTCCTCCTCATCCTCCTCCTCTTCCTCAGTGCCGTCCAGGGAGTCCTCGTGGGCTGCCAGCATAGCCTGCTGCATGGCCATGGTGGCCGTGGCCGATGAAAGGGGTTGGAGGTTGTCCATGCTGAGCGAGCCTGAAATTTAAAAAAAATAAGGATTCCCCAGCTAATACAAAAAGGACAAAAAAGTACATAAATCAGGAACAAACCAAGTGAAAAGCTCAGAGAGCACCTTGTAGTGTGTCCCACCTGCACCAGTCCCACCTCAGTGTCCAACTCTTAATTTTTCTAGCTAATATATTGTCATTAAATGACAAGAGACCTTACTTCTGGGCAAGTAGATACCCAAATTGGTTGGGCAGATCTTGTCTTCATCTTCTCTTAACTCTCACATTTCACTCTTCTTATCTCCTCATCTTGCCTGGTCTATGCTCATCTCTGCTCTCTTCACCTCTTCCTCTTCTCTCCTCTTCATTTTCCTCATCTGTTCTCTGTTCATCTCTCTTTCTGCCTTGTCTCATCTGTCATCTGACCTTAATCTTCTCTATTCTTTCCATTTTCAGCATCTATTCTCTTCATCTCCTCTCCATCTCTCCATCTCTGCTCTGCTCTCCTCTCCTCTCCCCTTCGCTCCCCTCCCCTGCCCTCCTGTCCTGTCCTGTCCTGTCCTGTCCTGTCCTGTCCTCTCCTCTCCTCTCCTCTCTTTATTTCGCCCTTTTCTCCCTTCCCAGCACCTCAGCAGATACCCCACTTCCCAAGTTCCTGTGCCAAGGGGATGGGAGTGCCCCATTGCCAGTGCCTCGTGATGGCCAACTGGAAGGAACTGCTTGCATGGGCCACATGTTTTTCCCCACAGTGTAACAAAGGGCTCTAAAAGTCCTTAATTACTAATTAAGGCCATCACTTAATGCATGGCCACTCCTTCCTGGAAGGGCAGGGGGCACTGGGGTTTGTCCTTACCGTCAGGATTTGTCCCTGAATTGCTGCCCTGCTGCTGCAGGACCCCAGCTGCAATGGAGTTGGGCCAGAACCTCTGTGTGGGCCGGTGCTGGGATTTGATTTTCTTGGCTTTGGGTGCAGGATCCGGGTTGCTGGCATCGAGCATGGGCTGCAGGATGCGCCTCCGGGCATTTATGAACCTTTCCATGGAAAAGAGAGAGCACTGGAGTAAATGTGAGTCCAGCACTGAGTTAAAACATCAAGATGTTAAAACAAATCAATGAGTTGCAGTATAAAACCTTCTCAAAAGTAGCTTCACGGTTCAGAAAGCTGGGGGGGTTTTGATTCTATTCCATCTGCCTGTGGCACATTTTACCACTGCATTAATTTTTCCAGCTGAGTGGGAAGATGCTACACACTGGATTTGCCAGGAGAGGGCACTGAGACCTCACAAAGCAACGCTGCACTGAACACATTTCTTGTCTCCCAGAATCATAGAATTATAGATTATGCTGAGTTGGAAGGGACTTATCAGGATCATTGAGTCCAACTCTTGGTCCTATGCGGGACACCCCAAAAATTGGCCCTAACCACCCAAGTTACTCCCAAAAAAGTAGTACACAGCACCAAAATAGTGTGGGGAAAAAAGTCCTAAAGCCAACCAGCAGACCACCAATTCACTCACCAGTTGTTGACTTGCAAGAGGGTCAGGTTGGTTTGGGCAGCAATTTGCCTCTTCTCATCCTCTGTGGGGTAGGGGTGCTGGAAAAAAAAAGAGGGATGGGGCAGCAAAATGAAATCCCTGCATGCAAACCAGTGGACCCGAGTGAAAAAAATAATGGAAATCTGCCTTTTTTTTTTTATTTTCCCACCCTAAATGTGGTGGGTCCTTGCATTTGCAAGATGCATGGTTGAAGGATGACATCCAAAGGCATCAAGATTTCCCCGGTGTCCTTAGGGCTTTTCCAAGACTTTCCATCAAAGCTTTTCCTTCAAGGAAAATGTTCATTTTTTTAAAGGAAAATTAAGTGATTTTCTAATGATGGTTGTTGGTGAAGGTGGGAATTGGGCTTCAAAACCCACCAAGTCCCACAATGTTAGAGGCACCAATAAAACCCTCTGAGTCATCTGCACTGGGAGACCACCAGCACTCAAAGCTTCAGCAACCTCCTCCCCGCCGTGATAAAATCCTCCTTTCCACCCCCAAAAATGAAATTATCAAACCTGCCCCACGTGTCACGTTCTGGAACCTCAAGCCAGTGACAGTGTTGATTGCAGTGACTTGTTTTCCAGCTGTCACCCCCAAACCAGTGTGATTTCCTTGACAAAACCACCCAAAGTCAGTGCACACTGGAGATTTGTGTCCCACCAGAGCCTCGGTGGTGAAAAATAGCTCCTTTTTTTAGCAGAAGTATCCCCATTTTTAGTATATTATTGCCAGCATTCTTTCTTGCTGCTGGTGCTCCAAAACTTCCAAGAAGATGATGAGCATAGATGATATTTGGTTACAAACCACATTATCCATGATGCCAGATGCAGAAATCCCATGGAGAAGCCAAAGTTTCTTCTGACCAAGCTGAGAGCAAAGGTCCAACCCCCCAGTAGGAGAATTTCTTTTAGTTTTTTCAATTCTGCTTTGGAAATCTCAGACCATGGGGTTCTCCTGGCACCTGGCAGAAAATGGTTTCTCAGTTTCTAGTCTTCTAAATCCTTTTTTGTGTTTGCAAACCTGCACTTCTGCCCTCCAGAAATGCGGGAGATGCTGGGATGGCAGCCCAACACTGCGACACTCCTGTCCTCAACACAGTAAATCCAAAATTTCCCTTTAAAAAAAAAAGGCTGGGAAGTCCTGAACCTGCTGCTGCTCCACGTCCTGGCTTAGTATTTTCCACAAGTTGCTCCTTGGAGCTGCTTGGAGCTGCATTGCTGATGCCTTAGGGATCTCCCACATTCCTGGAGAGCAAGTCTTTGCAAGCAGTTTCCAAGAAATTTCTTGGTTGAATTATGCAGGAAAAAGGGGTGGGATTTTTAGCATTTTGCCTTTCTCCCAGCCCCGCTGATGGGAGAGAAATCTTCTTGCATGAAAATATCCAGGTTGCATCTAAGCCTATCTCCATCTCCAATCCTCCAAAAATGGGGTGACTTTGTAATTCTGCATTTTGACTGATGGCTCATGTGCCACAGCCCTACCTGTGAGGCAGTTTTCATATTTCAGCCTGATAGGAAAGGGTACTCTGGAGCTGTTCACTGTAAAAAAATGCTCTATTATCCACCTGCAAAAGTTCAGGGAAGTCCCTTTCTAGTTTTGTTCACTTCTTCATGCCTTAAGGGAATGGTTTTTTCACCTGCAGTGAAAATGGTCATGCCCAAAATACTACGAAAATACAAGCACAGCCACTTTACGCCTCTGAAAACAGATTCAGACAAACCACCACCTGGATTTGAACATTTTGGGGCTTTTTTCCCCCCAGCTTGCAGGGTGTTTTGGTGACTGTGGTGCTCACCATGAGATGCTGGAAGAGCCATGAGCGCATGATGTTGGTGGCGTGTTTGGGCAGGACGCCCCTTTTGTTCTTGGACTTCTTGTCCTCACCGTCAAGGAGGGAGGTGAGATCCAGGTTCACCTGTCAGGGGACAGGAATGGGGAGAGAACTGGTTGAAAATGGCCATTGGCAACCCCACAAATGACCAAAACTGACACAAAAAATGAACAAAACGAACAAAGAAACGAGCAAAGCCAACCCAAATTGTGGGTGGGATGAGGGCACTTAGAGGGAACATCTAAAACCCACTTCCCCCTCCACTACATTTCCATTAAATGCACATTTTCTCCCAGGATCTGTATTTTTTATTTCCACTTTTTTGTTAATGCTTTGCAAGGGACAATGGCACAGTTGGGGACTGTGGTGATGAAGCCACAACCAATTTCAATGTGCGATTTAAGAGGAAAACACTTTTACCTTAAAAAAGCAATGAAAATAAACTCAAACCTCATAAAAAGATTATTTTCTCAACCGAAGGTTACAACTCTGCCACTCACTAACCCTCTGCAAATCCAGGGTTTTCACCCAGCTGATTCTACCCCAAGAAGGGTGCCCTTTCCCACCACAAGGAGGAAGATGTCCATTGAGCCAAAATTTGCTTTTTTCCTCCCCCAAAATTAAAAATAAGCATCTTGCTGCAAGAGAAGTTTTAATGAGGATGCAGGAACTGAACTGAAATCTAAGCACTTGAGTTAAAAAGGGATTTTTTTTTAACACCTCTTCATCAAAACACTTCTCCTGGATGAATTAAACATCAGGCCAGCAGGTCCCTGTGATTCCCCTGGGCTCCAGCTGAATAAATCATGCTGGCGGCACAGGAAGAGCATCCGGAGGTGCTTGTCCGGGGCTCTCTCCCTGCCCCAATATTCCCTGTGCACATGTTTTTCCCACCACAGAGATTGCTGCAAGATTTAAACCTGTGACGGAGAGATATTAAAGAGAGAATTTTTTTAAAGCATTGCACAGGCAATAAAACCTGCCAGGGAGCTGCCACTGCTTTCCAAAGTGCCATTTATTGATTGTTCTTTAAGAGGCTCCTGCAACTAAAATGGAGCATTTCAGAAAAAAATGGGGGGGGGGGGGGAATTTTTGCTGCTTGACCCCTGTGAAGCAGTACAGCAGAAATGGACGGGGTTTTTTCCCCCAAAGTCCTGAGGAATGGAGATTAAGAAGAATTCATTGTCTTCTTCCAAGAATGCAGGGAAACCCTTTGTAGTTCACTGCAATGTCAAAAAAAACAAACCAAAACAAAACCAAAAGTGGAATGAAACCAGAGCAAATGGCTAAAAAATATCTCCAAATCTAGAAAGCAAGGATAAAAAATAAGCCTTTCTCACAAGCTGTGATTGCTGTACTGGACAGGCAATGCCAGTGATCCCAGACTGCAACATATATCACTGTTATAATAACATCTATTCTATCCTATCCCAACCTATCCTTTTCCAACCCATCCTATCCTATAATATATAGTATACAATTAATATAGAATATATAATTTACAATATAGCATATAGAATAGAATCTTCTATTATGCATTGTATCAGATATTGGTATTTTATTATTATTATTATTATTTTATATTGCACAATATAATATTATGTGCATTGTTATATATTGTAATATTTTATAACAATAATATAAGTACTGCTGTAACAACTTAGGTCATTGCTATAATTCGTTAGCTACCCCAAAGGCACCTGGCAGATGGATTTAATCAATGTTTCGTGCTAATTAAAAATTTAGGATGCTCCAGGGGTTGAATTCCAACTCAGCATATTCCATGAATTCATGGAGGAAACTGGGGGACTTTGCTTGTTGAAGTCCCAAGCACTGAGTAAAAGGGGGATTTGGAGTGGGAAGGTCTCACCTGGGCATTGGGGATCTGCAGGGCACCGGGGGCGATGGCTTGGGCAAGGACCTGGCCCTGCGACGTCACCATCGTCACGGGCTGGTACAAGGCTCCACCTAGGGAAAGAAACACTTGCGATGGTGCTGAACTCCCCCAGATTTCTACCTGCCCCCCCAGCCTTGCCCGTGGCCCCTACCTGGCACGGCGGGTGAGCCACTGGCAGTGCTCATGGCCAGGTTGCCCGGCGGCAGCGCGGCCGCTGGCACCACGATGCCCGGCGGAGGGTTGGATGTGGGTGGCAGGGCTGCTGGAGAGCTCTGCAGCATCTCCTGCAGGGGAGGAGAAAAACATGAAACCCATGAATTTTATATATTTTGTCCGTACAATAACTTTGCCCTGTTGCTCGTTTTGTGTTCCTGTGGTTTAACAGCGAAAGTGCAGACAAAAGGGGATTTTCAGTTTGTCACAATGGCAAGAAAGAGACAGAAAAATAAGGATTTATGCTCTGCCAGGCTCCAACTTAGCATCTTACCCACACTCACCTTCTTTATGCAGCCACTATTTCCCATAAGGAAAAATGAAAGGGGAAAAAAAAAATCAGGATAGACCAGAAGCTGCAGCTCCTTTTCTCCACCCTACAGAGCTATAGGGATGGGAATCTGAATGCTCCAACCAATTAATTTTACATCAAGCCCTGGGTGTGTCATTCCACAGGGAGTTGGGGCACTCTGTTTCCACACTGATGCATTTCCCATTGCTGGGGTGGGGAGGAAAATGTGAGGTTCGTTCCTTTTGCCTCCTTTTTCTCCACTGCATTCATGCAGCTTTTTCCCTATCAGTCAAGGTTCTCAATAAACTTCATGGTTTTGCTATTAAAACACCTTACTGCATTTTCCCTGCAATGCCAAGCCCAAAACTTTGGACCCAATGCCTTTGCTACAAGCTATTTTTGTCCTCCCCATTGATGATCTGAATATTATTTATCTGGAAATTTTCCTGCAGTTGCCATGAGTTTTTCATTCACCTGCCAGACAACCCTTTTCACAGCTGAATTAATTTTCAAAAAAAGCAAATACGACCACAAAATACTTGTACTTTTTTTTAGTGTCCCTTCACCACCTCCAGTCCTCTGGGGGACGTGGTTTTCAGTTTCAAAACTGAGGATTTCTCAGCATCCAGAGAGCAAAAATCAGTCTTTTTTGCACACACTTGGACTTGGCTCTTGCTAAGCATCTGGCTAACAAACACGGTGGAAATATTCATAGAAAACCAAGCATGGTCCAGGAGAACCTCAAAAAGCAGCCAGATACAGCCAAAGTCAACCAGAGATTTGGAGCAGCCTGAAGACCTCTAGCTTCCCTCTTCTGCCTTGTTTTTCCATGATACTTCCTAAAGAAGGGCATCTGCAAGACTATTTTTGGAAGTGCATTGGTAAGAAATCATTTGGAATATCACAAAATTGAAACTGCTGTTTCCAGATACAGTGGTCAAAACCATTTTCAACAGGATTTTATGATGACAAAAATTGCAATTTTTTTATGGTGTAGAGGAAAGCTATCCCAAAACACCATCTCAGTGGTGTCCAAAAAGGCAGAATATTGGTAATTATTAGAAAAAGACATTAAAGAAATTCATGGTGTTCTGCAATAGAACTGTGAAAACAAGGGGAACCAATGAAAGTGGAGGCTCTGTCTTAAAATAAATACAGATAGATATCTCCAAGAAGATTTATTTTTTAAAATATATTTTACATACTAATTGCCTCAGATTGCAAATGTCAGCCAAATTCTATTCCACTTGGTAGTTTTGATGCAGTGGAAAATATTTTATATTTTGAGACTCAAAGAATTTCATGCAATTCTAGAGTTGGTTGGTGGGAAGAGACCTTAAAGACCAGCTCGTTCCAATCCCCTGCCATGGGCAGGGACACCTTCTCCCAGCCCAGGTTGCTCCAAGCCCCGTCCATCCTGACCTTGGACACTTCCAGGGATGGGGCAGCCACGGCTTCTCTGGGCAACCCGTGCCAGGGCCTCCCCACCCTCAAGTTGAAACATTTTTGGCAATTTTGAAACCTGAGTGTGAAAAAATGCATCACTAGGGGTCTCTGCAGATCCACATCTCGGCACTGACCAATGGCAAGACACGATTTCTCTGAATTAAAAGTCACTTTGGTGAAGAAAAAGACCTGGGACATATATTGCATTGCACAAAAACATACCATTTCTTTCAATAAGGCAAATATTCAAGTGCCCAAGTGCAAGTAAGTGCTAAAATTCAGTGTTATTGAGCTGCTGTTCTTCCCCTTGCGCTTTATGACACAGCCATTTATTTTCTTGTGGCACATGATGTCTAAAAATGCCTGCCTCATCCTAACTTTTTGAAAATTATTTGTGCTGGGGGAAGCTAGGATTAGTCGGAGAGAAAAGAAACCCATGGGTTTGCTGAAAAAAAGCTGGTCACACTCAAACTCAAGTAAAGATGATTCATAAGGCTCCTTCGTGAATGGAAGGGAGGATGGAGATGGGAAAAGAGTTGGCTTTAAACAACAGAGAAACCCAGGCTTGCCTGCAGGGAAAACCTGTATAAATCAAGATCTACATAGAGAAGCACTGCACTGAGTTTTACTGACCCATCAGCCTCCAACCACCAGTACCTGGGCTAGTGGAAGGTGTCCCCACCCACGGCAGCGGATTGGAATGAGATGAACTTTTTAGGTCCCTTCCAACCCAAACCATTCCATGATTCTGTGGCGAAGGAATTGGAGCAGAAGAAGAAATGCTGTCCTGAAAATGCCCATTTAAGCATTGGCAATCTGAAACAAGAACTGAAAAACGCAAAAACTGATTCAATTTAAATGTCCCTGGCAGCACTGGGGTTCCTGAGGAGTTTATTTTTGTGGTGGTTTTTTCTTACAAGTGGAGAGCAGTGAGGAACCCTTGGTGTCAAAGGGAAGTTGGAGTTACTTTAAGCACCAAGTTGGTTAAGGGAGGATTCCACCATGAAAGACTCCTGTCTGAAAAACTCAGAAAATATTTATTAAATGAAGGGAGGGGATTAAAAATGGCCTGATATGGACTCAAGGGAGAGGAATGAAGCCAAGTGAAGAACAACCATCAAAAATGGAAGAAGGGGAATTCCTTGGTGGACTTGTAGGTCATAGATGCTGCAACTCCTCCACAAAACAAAGAAAAGCACCAAATGAGAAAGCAAGGGAGAAAATGGGGTAGAAAAACACCTGTACGGTGATGAAGGTTCAGGGAAGGTGCATCACATGGGAAAACCCATAACTTGTCACCCAAACTTGGCCAACACCAGGAGTCCTCTCTAGACTTGGTGACATAAGAAGATCTAAGCAAGAGTCAAAACACCTGAGTGTTCTCTCATATTCCATCATCTCCAAGAATTTTTCACAATTCCAGAAATTCTTGCATCTCTTTTCCATCTTAAAAAGCACAAATAACACCAGGCCAAGGACCATTTTGGATACACCAGGGAAATCCAACAGTGATGGTCCTGTGATGACATTTTGACAGCTCCAGACATTGTTTTCCCAGTTTTGTTTGACATCGTTGTTGTGTATCCATATAGTTTTAAGCATGCTGTCCTGTGGTAAAAAACTTTGAAAAAAACCAAAATATTTCACTTTCAAGACAAACTTGGGGTATCTCCTCACAGAATGATTGTCACTCCTCCCAAACCCCAACAAAACCTATTTGCTGAGAAACCTCATTCATTGATATTAATTGTATTTTGTTATTTAGACTTTTTTTAACAATCCTAAATTAACGGTCCATTTGCTCTTGCACTTGCCCTCAGCATGAGACAAATAGGTCAATAATGAGAGAAATCATCCCACTTGCCATTTTTTAAACACTGACCCCACAAATTTTCAGCTCTCTGGAGCACCCTCAGCCCTTAAAACTCAACTGAGGGATATAGAGTATTTCCACCCTGTTTTTTTAAGCCTTATCCATGCAAACTCAATGAGTTTAAGGTTGTTGCTTAGTTGGACACTTAGAAAATATTTGTCACTGTATTGTCAACAGTATCTCATCCTCATCCAGTGGCCAGATGAGACAGTGGCTCCTTCTGGTCCATCACTGTGAATATTTCAGCTCCTGTTGCCTGCTGAAAATCCCTTAGTCGTTGAGTGAACATTTCCCTTCCAGCTGGGTCTTTCCTGGGTGTGTTCCCATTTATTTAGCAACTGCTTGCAAATCCTCACTTGAATTCCTCAACTTTCAATTCTTGCCCGGAAGGGAAACATCAGCGGTTCAGGGTTTGCAGGAATCAGAGGCAGCTTGGTACCTCTCCACGGGCCTGATTATTTTCCAAAGACTTGTGCTAATTTTCTGATATGATCCCCACCTCTTTGTGAGGCACTAAATCCTCATTACTTTTCCTGACCAATGCATTCTAATTAGATCAACACTTTGAAAAAAAAAAAAAAAAAAAAGAGGAAAGGAGAGAGGGGGGGAAAAAAAACCACCACAATAGCCACAGGACGGCTTTCCATCTCATTAACTCCCTCACTTATTATTTTCATGAAAATTACTGATAAAAAACGTGCATCTCCATTTGCTGGGACCGGGAGCTTCGTCGGCTCATATCTAACATCTCTCTCATCACCCGGGATGTGAGCCGTTGCCATGGCAATGCACAATAATAGAAACTAATAAATTACAAACGAGATGCTCGTTGAGCAATTATTGTTCTCTTTTATGCAAGTGTCTTGCTAATTTTGATCATAAGGAATGCTACCATAAAGCAGCGAAGGGATAATAAGTCCATTTCTAGAGATTATTAGAAAATAGAGTGAGGATGGGGTTTTTTAGATCAATGATTAAGTGGTTTGGTGCTTTCAGGGAACCCAAGTAAGAAATGGAACTTTTCTGGGGGGCTTTTTCCTTCATAGTGCTGGGAGCTTCAAATTCTGCAGCACCTGGAGCTGAGCTACTAAAAAAGCTTTTTTTTTTTCTTTCTATCACCTTAAAATTCTCTAAAAAGCCCCCAAAAACCCCACCACCTGCCTCCTTTTTAGAGAGAACCCCAGGAGCTGCCTGGGTTATTTTGGGTTGGTTGCAGTTATTTCTGGTGGGATTGTAGAACCCTAAACTTCGTTTTTCTCCCCCCAAAAAGTGAGTGCCTGAGAGAGACGGATCCCCTAGGGACACACATAAAATAGCATCAAGTTATTTGGGATGCAACCAGTCAAGATATATTCCCTGCACTGCAGATGCATGTGAAAACTCCAACCCATGGGCAAGTTGTTTTCCAAATATTAAGTTACAGTCCCTTATTTTGCCCCCAAAGCCACCCAGGTGCAGCTTTGGTTTGGCCACTTCATTTAGTATTTCTGCAATTCTCAGAAATAGAACATTTCCTTGTATTCTTCCACTACACTTGAGGCATTAAATGTTTTATTCTCCCAGCTAAAATCCAAATTATGCAAAAAAGAAGTGAAGGGAATGTTGAACATGCTGGAGGAGAACTGTAAGATGTGCTGAGGCCCAAAAAAAGAGCAGTGAAGCCAAAAAGGGTTATCTGAGACCCAAATATCTGTTAGGCTGCCTTGAAACAAACAGGGAGAGAGAAGCAGTGAAGAAAATCATGATGTTTCTGTCCCTCCTGCCAATAAATACTATTTTGTCACAAAAAATGCTGATTTCTTGTTGATATTCCCATGCATGGCTTCCTTCCCCTCACATTTCACTGCTGCAGCATTAGAGTTTAGAAGTCCTCCACTCCCCTTTCTGCAGAGCCACAACCATTGTGGGTTGCAGCTCTACCAAACCCATGCTAAAAAAGGCCACACAAAAATTAAAAATAAAGAAAAAAATTGCAGCACTGCAATCACATTTGATATACGGGCAAGATAAAGGTTTTCCTTTTTTTGTTACTGGGGGTGGATTTTGAGAAGGCCACAACTGTTGTAGAGCATCTCTGAAGCCTTGTTGGCCCAACTTGCCTGTTGGCCAACCTGCAACAGTGGAGACTAGAGATGAGTTTTAAGAAGTTACCTGGGGGTGGAGGCTGATGGAGGAGGGGTTGGGGGAGTAGGGCCCCCCCAGGTCATTCCTGAGTAGGTTGTCACTGTGCATCTTGGTTTTGAGGCAGGTGATGTAGCGGTTGCAAAAGTCCTTGCACAACTCATTGACCTTCTCTAACTCCAGGAGGTGGATGCGCAGCACCTGGATTGCCTTCACCATCTAAGCAAGGGCACACAACGGCAAAGTTAAAATAATGCTTTCCCCTGGGGTGGTGGGGGGGAAACCAACCAAAAATCAGCATTCTCACCCAAAATCAGTGGAACTGATCCCTGTGGTAGAAATAAATTAATTTCCTTTCTCGACACACCAAAAACAAAAAATCAATATTCTCACCCAAAACCCATCCCATCCGTCTGCATATCTGCATTTCTTTTCCTTCCCCACCAATCATACCTCTGAAATTTCAAAGAGAAAAAAAAAATACCAAATCACCAAATTCACCTTTGCCTTCATGGGAATCACTCCCAGTGGCCCCTTTCCCCCTCCCCCCCAAAAAAAAAATCCAAACCAAAACACTGAATGTTGAAAAGTGTTTGGTTATTCTCCAGAGGCCACTTCTTCTAACAAGATTACAGGGCTGCAACTCAGCCGTGAGCTGTTGCTGGTGCAAAGCCTGGGCCTCATTAAAACGTACCCCATAAACCTTAAAAAATTTACACATAAAACATTCCTCTAGCCCGAGCTGAAACCTTAAGTTTTATAGCTGCTGTTTGAAATCTTGCATAATATATAAAATTTCAGCTATTCACTCCGGGGCAATAAATCCTGTTTTATGTAACAAAGCGTCTTTGCATTTCAAAGGGTGTTTTTAACTTGCAAATTTTAGTGGTCATCTTTACAAACTGCAAGTCGCCACGGTTGAGAAACATCCTGCAAAAATTCAGGGCCAAACCCCAGGGGTGGCTCCGCCACAGAGAAAGTGAATTTTCGGTTGGCGAACAACAGGGATGATGAGTTGTGAATGGAAAGATCTTTCTTTTTTTGGTTTGGGGTTTTTATTTTTACTATTTTTTTTTCTCTTCCCCCCCGCCTCCTCTGCAGTTGGCGCAGGCAGACCGCGAGGTGGAGGTGCCGTGCCCCGGCTTTTCTGCATCCTCCCAGGGCTCAACGGCCATGAAAGTCAATATTCAAGGGCAAAGGCAGGAAGACCTGACATATATATGTATAAAAAATAAATCTCTCAATTATCTCAGCTCATTTGCTTAGGGTCTCATTTTATGTCCCTGCTCCGCTGCGTCGTATATCTGTCCGGATAAAGAGTTACAGTCCGACGGCGTACGTGCGCAGGGTTGTAAAAAATACAGATGCTGAATTAATTGACTGTGTGGCACTCGGCAGCTGATTGAGTTGATAATGGTGAGATCTGACCTTTTTCTAATTTCTAATTATGTGCATCTTGGCAGTGAGGAATACATGACTCTTATTCTAATGATAGCTAATGCCACTGGTCTTTTCATCTCTGCTTTGCCATCACCGATTTCTGGCCGGTCAGTGGCCTTAAAAAAAACCCCAAACCATCTAACACTGAAAAAAATAACAAAGAGAAAAAGGACAATGTAAACAGGGGGAAAGTGTCAGCTCAAGAACAGGTGGAAATGTGTTTTGGGCACTGCAAGACTTTTTCACCCGAAATTCCCTTCAGCTAGTGCCTCCCACTAACAGAAATGGCGCTTCTTCAGCATCATATTAAAGGTCTCCTCTGTCTTGACACAGTTTGTTCCACACTGAGCAATCTGCCCAGCTTTTGGAGGAGTTCTGGGTATTGGATAGAACATATATGTACAGATATGTACTAGAAATAGGGCAAAACCACATACACAGAGATACAGATATAACTACAGATATAGATATAGAAAAATATAGCTGTAGATGAATATGAACATATCAAGTACAGCAAGGGATGAGTACAACTGCCCATGGCCAAATTTCACCTTGGCAGCAAGTGTTGCTCCAAATAAGCCCAAAGAACATGATTATTATGGGGTTTTTATTTAAGAAACCACAAAAAACCCCAGTGAAAACAACCAGTGTGGACAGATTTGTTGCACTATTTGGTGAAGTGTTTCACTGGATAGATGTAGAAATAGGTTTTCCTTCCCCAAAATTTTAGACTTTTTTTTGCCTCACCTGGCTTCATTTCTCTCCTCCTGCTAGATCATTACACCCATTTTTACACAGTTTAATGCAATGGGAGTTGGTTGGTGTACCACAGCATCAGATGTGTGGTTAGTCCCAAAACCAAAATAATCCAAAACATTGGTTGGTTTGGGGCTTTTTTGATTATTTGTCCCAGAGTCATTTCCATTCTTGACTAAAGGTTATTGCAAAATGGGTTTAGTAATCTGCAAAAGGGGGTTGCATGGCCTGCAAATTTTCTGGAGGGCACTCCACGGACTCTTGGTTTAGGGACATCACAGAACTCTCCTAAACAAAATGCTGAAATGGGGCACAAAAGGTGTCAAATTTTACTCCATCTTGAAACCACTTCTTGCTTCTTTTAGGAAAGTAGTAGTACTTGCCACTAGATGAGCTTTGCCCTTTCTTCTTCCCTTTGTGACAGGTCATCATCCAAAATCACCTTCTTGATATCTGTAACGCTTAGAAAAAAGCTGCCTTTGAGTTGCCTGATTTTGCTTCTCTTCTGGGATGGAAATCCCTCTTCTGCATATCCCAGGGGATACACCAACACCCAGGCAAGGTGTTTTGCTCTTTGCATCATCAGAGATGGACAAAATTGCCCCTTAAGACCTTGACAGTTTGCTTGCAGAGCATCAGGATGCTGCCATGCACCTGCCACACCTGCCACGGAGACCACATATGGGATGTCTTTTGGACAAAATACTGGGATTCAGGGATGCTTCCTGAGGTCTGCACAAGACAAAAGCTCCACCCCAAGCAGAGTCTTCTGAGGCACCTTCCAGTAGCAATGTGTACAGTAGGAAACTGGGGATATTGTGACAGGGAAGACACCAAAACCAGTCCAGTGTGTCCCAAACCAGTGATATCTTATGAAAAAAGCTCTTCTTTTGCCCTGCTTCTGGAACAAGAGCTGGCCATCACACTTTGAACAAGGTGGTGCCAGACAAGAATGCTGATGCTATTGCACATTGCACGAAGAGCAGTAATTCCTACAGAGACTGCAAGTTCTGGGGCACAAACTATCCAGTGATCTTGGCTGTTTCTAAGTTTGAGTGGGTAAACTAGCCAAAAATGGGCTAGGGGGTTGTTCTCACAGGGGATCCTCTGGAAAAGGTCTCAGAGAAGGTACTGGAGAAGGCCTCACAAGGTCTACAGAGAACATTGCCAAGACAGCCACCACTACAGAGCCCAAAGACTTTTGTTCCTCACCCTCCACCTTATTGCCTCCCCCCAAAAAACCATCCACCAAGCCCCAGCTGACTCTACCAGGTTGTCCAGCTCGGGGTCATCACTGAAGAAGGGCTTGTGCTCCTGCTCCTGCTGGTGGACAAAGTTCTCGATGTCGACATCGAAGCTGGCTGAGGTGATGCACTCAGAGCCCTGCGTCGCCTGCTCACACTTCTCAAAGAGCAACGTCAGCAGCGGGAACAGTGGGTGCCTGCAGAGGACAAAAGACAACCCCCTTAAGGACCACTATTTTAGGTCACATGTCCATCTTTACCCCACATCAGCCATCCATCCATCCATCCATCCATCCATCCTTCCATCCATCCATCCATCCATCCATCCATCCATCCATCCTTCCATCCATCCATCCATCCATCCATCCATCCATCCATCCTTCCATCCATCCATCCATCCATCCATCCATCCATCCTTCCATCCATCCATCCTTCCATCCATCCATCCCTCCATCCATCCATCCATCCATCCATCCATCCATCCTTCCCCTCCCAGCTCATAAGAACCTGGTGATGCAAACCTCACTACCAAGCCATGCTGGAAGTGCTCCCTCTAGACCTTTTCCAACAACAGAAAAAAAAAAAATAAAACCTTAAAAATTGCAAAATTCACCAAGCAATGACTCCTCCCAATGTCTTGGTGTTTTCCATCGCTGCACCAAAGTCAGCATTTCCTACATATTTTACCATAGACAAAAAGGTGGATGTTTAGAGCCCTCTGCCATCCTGGTGCCTTTGCATTTCAAGGATGGAAAGACATCCTGCTCTTCGATGGTAATATTTTACCTCAAATCACCCGTTTGTTGGAGATGATGGGCGTGCCTGCAGCATCCTATGGACCAACCCTGCTTTGTGTTCCTCCTCCACCAAGAGGTCTCTGCATCTTTGTCAAGTCCACACAGGTGGGTCAAATCCCATTTCTTTCTTACCATGAGAGGACTCTTGAAAACAAATACCTGTAATTCTTCTTGAAATCCATCATTCTCTCCAGTAATGATGCTAAATCAATGCAATATAAAATGCAAACACATATACAGCATCAGAGCATGTGGAGAGTACGGGGACACAGACTGTGCATTAATCCAAGCTCCAGTTGTGCAAATTAAAATCAAAAAGTTTCACGCAGTCCTTCAGGGCAGAAATGCAAAACGGTGCTGTAGAAATGGTCTCCAGTTATCGCAGCACTCCAGTTATCCCAGCACAATGGGATCGGCTCCAGCACTTTATCTCCAAAAGTTGTCCCGAAAGACGGTTACGAATCCCTTCCCAACAGCCTTTTTGAGCCGGAGTCAGGCGAAGGGGTTAAACCCCTCGACTAAATCTTCATTTGCAGCCGTTAATACCACAGCATATTATAGTTTAATCTGTCCTGATCCTGGTTTAATGCAAGATTCACTGAGGCTGGAGAGGAGAACGGCGAGGGGGGGGGAAATCATTTCATAATTTCAGCAGCCCCGCCGGGGCTTAGCTGGGGGATATGAAAGGCAAATTCCAGGCGGCGCCTTGAATTATTGGGACTTATGAACTGGTAGCACCGCAGCAGGTGCCTGCTCCCATTTCCAGAGCCACTCCATCAATTAGGAGCAAAGGCATGGAATTACCCCAAGCATGGGGGTTTGGGGAGGGGGCAAGGGGATTGCAGCCCCTGAGCAATTTGTACCCCCTTTGCTTTAAGTGGTTGCATCGATCAAGGGCGGATTAAGAGCGGCATCACCCCGTGCTCTTCAGTATTAATGATGGGGACAGTGCTGCTGTGAACCGCCAGGAATGTTTTGGAGCTGGAGAGGAGGAGGAGGCTGAGGCACACAGCTGAGGGGAGAACGGTTCGCTTTTCAGCTGGAACTAAACTAAACTAAAAATGTAAGACTAAATAAAGGGAAACAAAGTAGAATCCAAGCCAATCAAATCCATCAATAAGTAAATGAAACAAAATAATGAACAAACGACTAAACAAAGTAACATAAAATAACATTAAACAAAATAATAAAATGCAATAAAGGGAAACGGTGGGGGAAAAACCCCCAGAGATGGGTTAAGGAAGAGCACTGAGGGCACTCTGAGCACAGTGGCAAGGACTGCTGGAATCTGGGGGTTTGCCATGAGCTAAATGTTGAATTGTTGCATTTCTGTGAGAGTTTTTTCATTTTTGCATGAGAGAAACCCCAATTCCAACCACCATTTTCTCCATTTCCAGCCTTTCCGTGGCCATGCCAGGCAGAGGAAAGGGCGGCTCACTATGGGGGTTTGCAGGTGGAGGTTGTGGCATAAAAATTGAGATCTGGAGTCCCTCCTTGCTATGAAATTTGCAGTGGGGGGAATAGATGGATATCCAGCATGCACAGGGGAAACAGAAGGATTTTCCTCACTATGAGTGTTACACAGGTGGAAAACCACCCTTGTGACATGAAGGAGAGTTTTGGAATGGAAAAATCTGCTTTTGCTGAATATGGTCTTGCAAAAAAAAAAAAAAACACCTGTGTTTGTTTTTTTTTCCAGGGAATCCTCCAAATGAAAGGGCTGAACCAGCCCTGACATTTTCCTGCAGGAGAGAGGTTGTTTGCAGCCACTAATAAAAAGGATTCGACACGGGCTAATAAAGAGGAATGAGTTCCTCTAATGGCCTAATTTCCCACCTTCAGCCAGGTTTGAGCCAGTGGCACTGTGGGCACATCACAACAGGAATTTTATTTATTTTTCACCCCCTTCCCTCTCAAAAAAGAAAAAAAAAAAGTTTTAATGCAAAGAAACCCAGCCATTTGCCACTTGGAAAAATCCAATTTGCGGTGCTCATGTGGTTTAAGCATCATTTCCCTTCAGAAGCATCATTTTTGTCAGGTCCAAAATCCATGGGGAAGTCCCAGCCCCACTGTTGCATAAAGTCAAGAAAACATTTTAGCTGAGAGAAAACTGCTCCTGAGAAGTGATGCTGCTGGACCAGTCTTGGCCAAGCTGCTGTCACACCAAGCACGGAGGGGGAGGATTTTTTTTTCCCTTTTTTCTATTTTTTTTATGGGTGATAAACCTCCTGCTAGAACATAAAACCCAGTGGGGTGACTTGTCCATTGGTTTTTTTATTTCCAATCACATTTTGCCAGCAATTTCCCTCCAGGTTGATCAACAGACATTTACAGCTGACGCTTTCTGCCTTGGTGCAATTGTTGAAAAGTAACAAAAATCCACTGTTTTAGGGGAAGGGAATGGACCTAGGAGGGCTGAGAAAATCCTTGTGTACATTTGACAGCTGATGACATACACACCATCCATATTAACTGCTGGATAGGGGAATACTCATCAAAAAAAGGCTCATTTTAGGGATAAAAATTTATCTGGGGGGTCATTTGGCTGGTAGCCAAAAATAAGCATTCAGGTTTGGGCAATGAATCCACACATTGGACTAGGCAACAAATTTTCCCCCTCTTTTCTAGGTGGGGAATGCCTCCCAAAAGGTATTTTTTGCATGTTTTTGAGATTCAAATTTAGGCTGTGAAAACTCCAATGGTGCTTTGTTTTTTTTGTTTTCCTTATCCCATGAATTCTTCAGCAAAACTCCTCCAGGAAGGGCAAAGAGAAGGTGGTTTTGTCATCCCGTGGCTTCTTTTGCTTTGAGAAAATGATTTTCAACACTGGGAGACCCGTGGTGAATAATCCTCTGCATTTTCCTGGGAAAGAGTGAGTTTATTCCACACTTTCATCTGCCTTTTCAGACATTTCAACCTCGTAATATTTGAATATTTGGAGTATAAATATTTTAATTTCTTCAACTCCAAGCTGCAGTTTTTTTGTTCATAAGCCATCACAGCCCTGGCCATTGACAGGGGGTTAATCCTTAACCTTAAACCTTAATCCTAATTATATTAAAATATTATTACTGTTACACCATTACTGTATGTTCTAATACTGTAAATAATCACATGCCCCTTATATAATTATATATTACTTATATAATTACACTATTTACATAATTAGAATATTACTTACAGCAATTATATGATAACATTACTGCATATATTATATATTATTATCCCCAAAATTACATGAAAAGGGGATTGAAGGAGTCATCCACCCCTTGCCCATCCTGTATGGATGCACAAACTGTATATTTCAGGTTAACATGTGACTTCACCATTTATTCAATCCCAAATCAGATGGGGTTTTTTGAGGGTGAATATTTTGGAGGTAGTGGGTAGATGTTGCAAAATGAAGTACGTGAAGGAGCTCCACCACCACAAGTTATGATCAATAGTTATTATTGCTAAGAAGGAGCTAATTGCTAATTCCCCCCTTCCTGTGTGCTAATTAATGCATTAGAAGAACGGATTAATACAGCACGATAACAAAGAATGCATCAAAGGATCGATGCAGCGACCCACACATTAATTAATGCATCGCTGAACCGGCACAACAACCATGCGTTACAATGGCAAGCCATTAATCAGACTGCATTAATTAGTGCATTAATTAATGAATGCACGCTGCAATTAGCTTGCATCACCTGTAGACAGCCCTCTTGTCGGCCTCCAGCTGCGCCTGGGGGTCTCCGCCCGTGGCCGGCACTGGTGTGTTGGCGGTCGCCGCCGGTGTGGCGAGGTGCACAGGCTGTGCCTTGGTGGGCTGCTGGGCTGTGGCTGTCATCTGGGAAGGGGAGGGGATAAAAAAAAAAAAGAAAGAAGAAAATGAAACAAAAATAGCATTTGTTGCACTTTTCTGCCGAGTTTTGCAACTCTCCCCACGTGGAATTTTGGAAATTCGGGAGGAAGGCAGCACTGCGATGGGGCTCTGAGTAGGATGGTGGTGGGGAAGGTAAAATATGGATATATTTGCATTTCATCCTAGCCTGGAAAGAGCAGCTTTACAGTTTTTACCACTTTTTTTTTTTCCTCACTTTTCACTTGGGGAAAAAACAAGGAAAAAGTGCCGCCATCCCTCCTGCGCGGGGTAATTTCAGCAGGGATGCTTCCCACAAGTCCCAGATTAAATCAGCTGCAGTGCTGCAGCTTGCCAGGAGTTCTTTCAAAGCAGGTATTACTGTCTAGACACATTCATTTTCGACTTTATCCCAAAATTAGGCAAGATGCTTCCAACTCACCGAGCCCAGCAATGACTCATCTTGGCGCTGCGAGAAGACAGCCAAAAAAAATTAACCTTTTTTTTTGGTACCCGCGCCCAAATCACCCATTTTTAGCCCCGATGCTGCCCAGGATTGCTGACATCACGGGAATCTGCCATGTAATAAACGATCCTGACAACAAACCTTGTGCTTATTTTAAAATCTGCAATTATTTTGGGTCCCTAAGATGTGAGAGCTCCTGCAAATCCCTGCACATGCTTCCAGTGTCACCCCAAAACTGCCACCCTCTGGCACAGGATAACACCTACTTGGGGGAAATTTTCCCAGAAAACTAACAATATCATTAAAAAAACCCTGAATGATCTGCTGCCAGGCTTCAGACAGGCCCAAGCTTCACGTTATAGCCACAAGATCCTGTTAAAAAAAATATCCAGAGGGAATGTGAAGCAACAGGGGTTCAAATGCATCAACAGTGCCCCAAATCCAGTGGTTTTAACCAAAAATCTCAGCAGAAAATGAATGCAAAGTGGCTGTTTTACCTGGTTTGCTGTCAAAATTTGTAAAAAATAAGTATTTGCTTATTTTCTCCAGTAAAAGTTCAATCCTCCCTGGAGATGGGGAGCAAAAGGAAGCTCTGGCTCTTGCTAAATATTAGATTTATCATTTATTTATTGTCTGACAGACTTATATGGACTTATTTCTCTGTTTATATGTAATTATATATCATCTATATTTGTATCATGTTTCTTCATTTCTGTGTAGATTTCCGTATAAATAATATATATTATTTGTCTGACACACTAACATATTTATTTCTGTGTTTATTTATATAGAAATGTGCTTATAGGTATTATTTATTTATTTCTCTGATATGCCTCTAGATTTATTTGTCATCATTAAATATCAAAATGCTCATATGCATAAATCATTGTGTAATTCATTATTATTTATATATATAAAGCTTTGTAAACCTAAGCTGGACCAAAACCATGACACCTTTTGCTTTTAAAATATTTGCCTTTAATATCTCCTGCCTGACCTTTTGCTGTCGCTTTTTTCCTCACTTTTCTTTTTTTTCCCAATCCCCTTTATTGTTCATAACTCCAGAGTTTGGCTCCAGCACCTGTAAATTCACCCAGCACTATTTAATTTCCAACTCTCCCAACTGAGCACCTGGTTTGATTTCTGGCCTTCTTCCCTTCCCTGGTGCTAAAGAAATGAGTGAAATTTGGCCTTCGCTTCACCTTCCAACCCCAGCAGTTTGGTTTGCCTTCTCCCTCCCCACCCCCGCTCATTTTCCAGCTAAAACCAAAATGCCAGCAGATTTTGGGATGCTCCAGCCACTGAATATCTTCCCAACCTCCTCCTCTTTTCCCCCTTTTTTTTCCCTATTATCTCCCTGGAGAATTACAGTTCTGTGGGGCAAAAATAATGGCTTTTCCTATAATCTTTTCCCCTTCCCCCCCCCCCCATCACACTCATTTACTAGGATTCCAAAGCCCTTTTTGCATCCTGCTCCAATACCTTGCCAAGTTGAATATTTCCAGCCGAGTCTGCAACTAATTGAGCTCTTACCCTAAAAAAAAACCTCCTGTGGGGCTTTTACCTCAAAGCCATTACCTCACCTTGGACTAAAGAAAAGAATAAAAAAATAAGAAAAAATAATTTCAAGTCCATGGAAAAAGAGGTGAGATGATGCTGGGATGGAGGGATTTGCAGGTGGATAGGGAGGAAGGCAAAAATTGAGCCAAAAATGGCTTTAGGGGGAGCAGTTGGGGATGGGAAAGGTGGGAAAAGGGAGCAGGTTCCTGGCAGTGGGAAAATGGGGAAATAAGGGGAGATATTTGGGTAGGAAAGTTGTAGGCACTGAAAAAAATGCAGGTTTGAGGGTGGTTTTTTCCCCTGGAAAATGTTCAAAAAGAGTTGCAGGGAGGGAAAAAGGTAAACAAAAAAGAAGAAAAAAAAAGTACAAAATACATGGTTAAAAATGTAGAAAAGGAGTAAAAGAAAGATAAAAAATAATGTATATAATCAAAATAATTATGTAAACTGTGAAAAATACATTAAAATATGTTTAAATATGTTAAAATATGTTTAAAAATGTAAAAATATATAAAAATGTAAAAACATGTTCAAAATATGTTTACAAACATGTTGGCAGAAGTAAAGTTTTAAAATGTAAAAAATCCATTCAAATAAATAAAAATGAAAACATATTTCAAAATTATGATAAAAATGTATTTAAAATATGGGAAAATGCAAACAATATGTTTACAGATACATTAAAGCCTCAAATGTTTTAAAACGTAGAAAGCACATTAAAAGATGTTAAAACACTACAGAAGTTCTAAAATTGCATTAAAAATGTTCTTTAAAATATATTTAAAATGTAGAACATGTAAAAAGGTAAAAATTTTTTAAAGATTAGGAAAAAATCAGAAAAAGATTTAAAATGAGATTTAGAAAATAGGAAATAAATAGTAAAGAAACACATTTTAAAAATCCCTGTGTTTTTGCAAGGCTCCTAGGTAAAGCTGGTATTTCTGAGGTGCTGCTCAAGCTGCAAATGATATTTTTGGGTTTGAACATTACATTTCTGGGGCTTGGCTATGATATTTCTGGGGCTGGGGATTACATTTTGGGGGTTCAGGCATAATATTTCTGGGGTTTTTGCTTCTTTTGGAAAGAAATCCTCTGCCAGAGTTAGCTCTGGGAGGGCTTCCTGCAGGTTTAAATGCCGTAATCCCTCTTCTTTAGACTTTTTTTTTGTGAAGAGCATGTCCAAAGACATCAAGTTCAGGTAGCAAGTCCCCTAAATCAGCAATATTTACCCTATTTCTCAACATCTCGCTGGGAAATCCCTCCATCACCGTCACACATGCTGAAAACAGCAGTTCTGAGCCCAAAAACCTGCTGAGGACACCAGCAACTGGAGGGGTTTTGTGGCTCACACTGGAAAAATCTTCATCTCCCCCACCCCCCCCGTTTTTACCACAGGGCTTTTTCAAAACTATTTTTATGATTCAAAAACGTAGAACGATGTTCACAGTTCTCCATTTTTGTCGTGGTTATAACCACCTAAAAAGCACTTGGGGGTGGAAAGTAAAGCTGCTTTTATCACTTTTTGGGCTGAAAATTATGAAAAATCAACTTCTCCATCCAATTTTTTTTTTTTTAATAAATTTATTTATTTATTCATTCATTTTTTTGGCCTTTTTGTCCCTAACCACCTTTGTGGAGGGGGAGACAAGAGGCTTATTACCTCTTTCTGTGCTGGAATTTATGAATAATTAACACCTCCACCCGATTTTTAATAAACTTTCTTCTTAAATATATTTTTTTAATACATAAAAAAATAAATAAGTTCCTCTCCTCCCCCTCCTTTTTATCCCTGTTATAAGCACCTAAGAAGCATTTCTTTGATAGGGCAAAGCTTCTTTCATCACTTTCAGTGCTGAAAATACCTATTTTTAAAACAACCACTTTTTGCTACCTTTGCTAATGGCTGAAGACCCTTCTTTAGCTTTTTAGTTTTAATTTATTACGGAAAACACAAGGATTTTTATGCAGACTCCTTAATTTTCAATAGGTAGAGTGCTCGAGGAGCGTGCCTGTGCTCTGTATAAAAGATGCTCCATGTTACACCCCTTTAATAGATTCAGGTGGTTAATAAACCACATTTTTTTCCTCCCAAAGGCTGCTTTTCCCCTAATTTCTGCTCCATTTCTGCACATTTCTGACAGTGAGGGTAACAGCTTGCACAGCTTCTGCTGTAAAATATGAAAGCTCCCCAAATCCCATTTTTTAGCACTCCTCTCACTGTTTCCCTTGATGAGGAGCTCATTGTAGCTCTAATAATTGATAATTTTTTTAATTTTTCACCAGTCCTCCCCATCTCCTCCCCATCTCGGGGGAGAAGAAACTTGTGCAATTTGCTTTTCTAGCCCCTAGAAATCCCAGATTTTTTAGGTGACAAGTTCACAGCAGCCACAGATGAGTCAAGGGAGTCAACTCTTGGCCGCAGCTTTTCCTCCAAACCCACTTAAAAAAAAGAAGGATTTGGTCAACGATGCTCCTGAGGGTCCCCAAATTCAATGTATTAAAACAAGGGGCAGCTGAGAGGCTGGGAGGGAGAAGGTGGACGGGGATGTCACTGTAGGATGCTCCAGAAAATGTTGGCTATTTTAAAAATCCCTTAAATTGCCCATTAGGACTAAAACGGCGCAGCAGCTCCCGCTGTGTAAGCGAGAAAGGGAAAAAAAAATTGGGAAAAAAAAAAAGCCCTCCTTGGAGCAAAGCAGCGAAGCGAGTAAATGATGACACAGAAGTTGGAGGAGCCATAAAAACCCCACCGAGGTGTCGTTTGTGAGAAGTGACCTTTTCCCACCGAAGGAAACGAGCAGGAAGGAGACCCGGGTGGTTTCAGGGGGGATTGTAAAAGTCGATTTATTTATTTTAGCTTGCAGAGAACAGGCTCAGGGTTTGGGGGGTAGGGGGGCTGTTGTTGTTGTTTTGTTTATTTTCCTGGGAGGGGAGATTTTTCTGCTTTTGCAACCGGAAGAAGTAGCAAATGGGGAGAAACTCAAAATCTTCTGTATGAACAACAAGAAAAAAAAACGCTACTTTGAAAACGGAGCTGGCTCAGTGCTCAGTGGATCATCCCTGTTAGGTCACTGTAGCTGGGAAAGCAGAAATATGACATAAATTTGCCCCTAAAAAATCTTAGGATGGGCTGCAAGGCACAGGACCATCTCTGAAATCCAAACTCGACCTCCCAGTTCCAGCCCACTGGGGTGCTCCAGTAGAGTTTCTCTTAGACAAACTCCTCTTCTTATAATAACTCCATAACGATGCTTGCAAAAGTTATTCGACCCCTTAGAGCACCATTGGAAATGAAATCTTTTTTCTCCCCTGCCACAGGTTATTAAAAAATGCCATTGAAATAAATCAAAGATTCAGTTCTATAGCTAAACCCATCCTAGTTTAGTCAAACATTTAGTCTCTCCAGATGATTAACCTGCTGGTTGCAAACGTGCCACCGTGTCAGTTTTCCAAGAAGACCCAATGACCCCAAAATAAGACTGAAAGGGGAAAAAAGCACAGTTTGACCCAAAACCCATCAACCTCAGAGACTGTGTCAAGAGGGGGTTTAATTTTGCCACGCTCTGACGTGAACGTTCTGGGGTGAAAGATTTTGTAATGGCCATTATTTAGGAAGGCAGGGTAATCAGTGCAGGAGCTGGGGGTCCCCAAGGGTCTGTAGGAGCCCGTGGGTGCTGGAGGACACTCACCTGTGGGGTGTCTTGATAGGGAGGAGGAGGCACTGTCTGGGTGGCCATCATCGTCAAAGCCGGTGCTGGGGAGACATGGTGCATCCTGGGTGGGACTCACATCGAGAACCTGCGGGCAGGAAAGGAGCTGCTGCCTTAAGAGGGATCTTCCAACCCCCCCAGCAAAAAATCATATAAAGAGGGGAAAAAAAGACAGCAAGGAGAGGTGATGTTTCTGGCACGAGCACCCCAGCACAGCACTCCATCACATGGTCCCTGGGAGAAACCCAAACTCACCTGATGACCAGGTCACTGTCACGGAGATCTCCCCTGGACAGCAGTCAGGCAAAGGAGGAGATGATGGCTGCCACTGGTGAATCTCATTATATTTTCCCCCTATGAGCCCTGGTTCACCCAGGGCATCTTCTTTCCACCCTTCATGCCTAACCACAGTGCCCAAATAGGGATTTCCATCCCCTTTGCAGTTTTAACTCCTTTCTGAAATTAGACACTGAATCCCCTCAAGATTGTGTCTCGCCACCACTGCCTGCTTACTCCAGAAGGGACATTGAGTGTCTGATGTGGAGCTGATTCCCATGTTGTGCTGTCCAGCTCAGTTGACTCCTATGTTGAGGTGACAAACCCCAGGGTGATTTGAACGCAAAGAAATGCGGAAACTCTTGCCTGATCTGAACCAGGAAGCAAACCTGGATTTTGATGCCATAAACCAAGGAGGCAACCCTCATGCTGCCATCAACCTCTCTGGAAGTTGCTGCTTTCTAAGAATGCAGAGTTATCTTGGGGGAAATCAGACTATTGTATTTGTATCTTCATGACCAAAGGAGATGGGGAAAAAAGAGGGGCACCAGGAAGGGACAAATTTAAAGAGGAGCACTGGCCTGGGAGAAGTCCCCAAGGATAATCCTGGTGGCAGATGTGACCCAAAAGCAACTCTTGGCCCCAAAATAACTCCTCTCCCATTATTTCACTGCAGCTGTGTGGTTGCTTTACCAGAAAAGCCAATAATCTTGCTTAAATCCTTAAAAAAAAAAACCCTGTCCTGTCCCCTCCGCGGCTCTGAGCTTTGTTTTGGGTCAGCTCATAAAAACACCCAGCAAAATCTTCCCAGATGCTCCAAAAGTACATTTCTTTCTGCAAAGCCTCATTTTTGTAAGAGATGACACATCTCAAGGGGTTCACCCCTGCATCGTGCCCATCAGTGCTTCACCACTGGCTTCTCATCTGGAGAAGAGCCATGGTGTCATCCCATGAAGAAATGCAAAAAGATGGGTAAAGATCTCTGATACTGTGAGGGGATATAACCAAAAAATAAAGTGTCAGTGAAATGATGACATTTGGAAAAGTGCAAGGCAGAGGGACAGGGACAGTGATGAGCTCAGCCAAAACTGATGCACATTCCGTAATCTTTGTGAAAGATTCACAATAATCTGGTCTTCTCCATGAGGTCCACGTTTTTTGGGGGGAAGAGTCACAATATTCTGGTCTTCTCCTTGAGGCTTCAAGCTTTACAGGAACCACCAGGCACCAGGTTCACAAATGCACCATATCCACACAGAAAGCCAAGTGCTGTATTCATGGTATGAGCATCAACCACTCATATTTATTTTGCATGAATAAAAGAGGTTATTCTTTTTTTTACTTTGCACGATATGGATAACCCACAAATCGAGAGATCACACCCAAAATCCTGTGCATTGTGAAGGTGGATCAGGGTTCTTGCACGGCACAGATCTTTGCAGTGAGAAGGATCCTGCATTTATGGGATTAAAATGTTGCTTTTCATCTTTTTTCCCCCAACAGCAAAATAGCAGGAGGCAAAATCATCTGCTTATGAGTGAACTCGCTGCTTAAATCGTTGGTGTCCAATGTCAAAACTCACTCACAGCTGCAGGCACGTGAATATCTGCATCCTCGGGGGGGGTAACACCGAGGGGAAAACCTCCCCACTAGAAATAGCTGCAGCTGGGGAAAAGCAGAATTTAGCATTGTGATGGTCTGACCATCTGGGTGGGAAGCTAAAAAAAAAAAAAAAAAAAAAGACTGCTATTTTGGGAAAAACGCCCTGCTTGGCATCTCTTGCTCCTGCCAGGAGTGAGCCCACAACCAGCACGAGGCGATTCATTGTGGGGTGTGAGTTTTTGGGTGAGCAGATTCCCAGAAGGTGGCAGTCCGGAGCCCAATTTAATTGCTGAAAAACATCCAAGCTGCTGAAATCAGGCCATTCATTGAGGTTTATGGGTGTTGATCTCGTTGGAGAATAGGACTCGTAGCCAAACGTGAAAAATAAAAATAGGATGAAAGTGAGAGACAGCTGTTGCCAACAGCAGTATATTTATCTTGGGGGTGGGAGGTGGGGGGTGGGAAATGCACTTGGGCTCCCTAAATATCCGGGGAAGCAACTGATGCCTGAGGGAAAAGCCAGACAGGTGTTTCACCTGGGAGCCCCTGGCCAGGAATCTCAGGATAACAGTGCAAAGCCATCAGATTTATCAGCAACCAACACAAAGGAGGGCCAAAAGCTGCTACTTTATGCATTAATTTCTTATTTTTCTATTTTTTATTTTTTGCACTAATCCCCTCTTTTTTTCTTTTTTTTTTCCCCCCACTTCCACCTCTTAAATCAATTCAGCTGACCACAGGCACTCCGATGTCGAAAGGAGCAGAGCATCACCAAACCCCTGCCAAATCCTTCCCACTCAGCTCACAGCAATCCTCAAATCTTGGGTGAAGAGGGAATTCTGGGGGTCTGGGGATCGAGGAGGGCAGGAATTGCAGCCAACTCTTGGGGCATTTGCACAGAGGAACGGAAAGGTGAGCAATAAAACTCATAAAGGTTCTTTCATTTCCGGACCCGGCAGTACTTTACGTTTTGGCAACGACTTGTAGATCAAAGCATCCTAAATTTCCTTATGAAATAAAATTATTTCAGCTATCACTGAAATGTTGCCATTATGTTGGAAATGTATTTCCTAAAGAGCTTGTGCCTACCTAAAAGAGTCTCAGATTTATAGGCTGATTTTTTTTTTTTTTGACAACAATATATTACATCCTTTTTCGAGTAAAAATAATTAAAGACTAAGTTGAGAAGTCCAGGTTTTTTTGCATGTGGTCACTGATGCCTTAAAACATTTTAAAAATCAAAGTATTGTCAGTCACCCACCACCTCCCAGGTGAATATGATCTCCTTGATTAATAAAACAGCCATAAAACCATATTAGAAGTAGGCCTGAATGCAAAAAAAAATTTAAAATCTCATTTATGGACTCCTCATCACCATTTTCAAAGAAAAATGTTAATATTCGATTTGCAAAGCACAAGTCTTGTTTCCAAGCCAATTGGAAAATGGGGATAATTTTTTCTAGCTCATTCAGCAGTTTCTGCCCTGCAGCAACACGTGCAATTGATAGCAGAGGGTACACTGTGAGAAATCAGAAAAACAACTTTTCAGGCTTTTCTTCTTCTCTACCTGAAGCTTCAACATTATTAGAGATACTTGAGGATGGGTTTTTCCAGCCATGGAAGGCATTTTTCTGCATTAAGGGAAGACTACCTTTTCCAAAGGGGATTTTTTTGAAGAGGGGCTGCTGTGGGATTTGCAATGATGTCGTGTCAGTCACGCTCCCTCCGCAGTTTTTTATGTCACCATCTTCACAGAGGGCCTGAGCAGGCTGAAGTTTATGATTTATGCATTCAGCTGAGTTAAAATGAAGAAATACAGCAGAGCAGGGAGGGAGAAGGTCCTCCAGAGGATGATACATCTTGCTCAGAGCAGCCAGGACAGGTTCACTCTCAGTGGGTGATGCCAACTCTTGATTGGCCATAAAGTGAATTAAGAGCTACCCTCTCGCTCTTGAACATCTTATTTCTATTCACCAATCTTCACCCTTTTTGCTTGTTTTTACCACAATACCCTAATGGATGAACACGGGTTCTGGTTTTCACAAGCTGTTTGAGAAAGTCCCTTATACCACCCTGAGCTCATTAAAAATAAATCACTATTAACTGGCGATTAAGATAAATATAATCTACTATTAAATGGTTAAAACTGGGGAATAATCCAATTTTTCAAAGACAGAACCCATTCTTGACCATTGTCTGACACAAAAAAACTCTTGCTGAGCACTGGTTTGGAATGTCCCTGGATGGCCCCTGGGCACAGGGGAAGGGAGTATTTATTTATTTAACATTTTCACCTAGGTATTTAATTTTTAAATTTTATTTATTTATTTCATATTTGCAGGTGTTTATTTGCTCTTTGCACTTATACATTTAATATTTCCCAATCCTCCTCCCAACTCCAACTCCATAGAAAGGAAGGAGCTGCTACAGTGAATTTCCGATGAGAACAACAATTACTGCTAAATATTTCTCTCCTCTCCAAAGATACCCATCCCTAAAAGGCTCCAGGGATATCTCTGCAACATAAACATGAGAATAAAACCTGCAAGAGCCAGTCAGAGCTTTAGTAGACAAGGTTAATGTACCTTGAACAGCAGCATTAAACAACTTCCCTCTTTTTTTAAGTGGAGAGCTGAGATACCTACATACATTTTAAAGTGTTATTTTTATAGGGAAAGACTATTAAAGCACCTTCCAAAACAAACTGGCACAGGGAAACATCAAAGAATCTTCTTCAAAGTAACCTGAAAATACTTGCATTTTGTGCAACCCAGCCCTTGGCCCAAGAAAAGTTCCCAAAAGAGCAAACTGTGAATTTTTTCATAGGGCAAATCAAAAAGCTTTGAAGTGAAGCATAGCTGAAGAACCCCAAAAATGCAGAAACTTCCTCTTGCTGAACACAAGTTATCCAAAAAAAAATTCTCTGTTTGCCTTGAAGAAGAATTTTGCTTGTAAAAAATGAGCACGTGAATTTTCCAGCAACTCTTCTCTGTGAACAATTACCTGTGAATAATTTATGTCCCAAATCTTGCCCTATGCTTTCAACCTTGGCTTGTGCTCTTTGTTTTTCACCACAACCCACTAATTCCATGAGTAAGGAATAACTGAGCACCTCCATTCCCATCAGGCAAGCACCAAATCTAAATCTCACCCTGGTTCTGCCATGAGAAGGAGGATGGAGCCGTGGGGTCCTGACCAGAGGGAGCAGTGTGGGTGGTGTGGCTGCAGTGGATTCAAGCTCCACACTCTCTCTTTCGTACACTTTTGTGACTAATACTGTTGCTGCTACTGTTCATTTTCTTCTCTCATCGCTGTTTCCAGTAAATTGTTCTTATCTCAGCCTGTGATCTTTGTCTTTTGTGCCTCCAGTTCTCCTCTCCAGCTGCCCAAGGATGGAAAGGGAGGGAGGAGAAGCGAGTGAGCAGCATGAGGTTCCAGACTATTGGTGTGGGGAGGGAAAGCACTAAATTAGGGAATACCATTCCTAAACCACAACAACCAATTTCTCCACCAGCACAAGTGCCAATCAGACCAACAGCAGTGGAGGACCCACCCACAACCTCAACAGAGACGTGCGTCCTCAATTCTAGCAAAGATGACACAAGAAACCATACAAGGACCTTCTGTAACTTGCTGCAGCCCACAAACACCCCGTGATCAGCACTGCCATTTGTCATGGTTTTAAATGTAGCTTCAATATTGATGCCTTTCTGGGGTGTTTATTTTGAAAATCAAAGCTAAGGGGCTTCAATGCAAATCTCCCAACACCTGCATGAGTAGCAGCAGGTAAACATAGATAGGAACCTGCTTTTTGGTGGACTTGCAGGAACTGGGCTAAAAGCAGCAGAGCCAACCCAACTGCAGAAACACAGGTGGGAGTGTGCAAAGATTTCCCCACCCCATGGGAAAGCCTCGAAACCAGCAATGCCACAGCACACCTAATAAAATCCTCTCCTCCCTTAAATCTGCCTCATTTCTTGCTCATTCCTGCTATCACGCTTGGAAATTTTCACTTTGGGAGAGGGAAAGAAATCCCTCTGGAGCCGGCTGTTTTCATCTTTCCCATATGGCAGATAAATCAGAGCTCCTGACTCGCTGAGTTTCTGCTTCACATCCCTTTCTTCAAGTTCTCTGTCTCCTCCCGGTCTCCTTCCTCCCTGAATTTCTTTTTAAAATGTAAAATTCACTAACAGAAATGGCTCTACCAACCACAAGACAAAAAATATAGGTTTTATTGAGCCATGCCAGGCTTTCTGGTACCTGCAGATAGTTGTCCCTGAGCCAAGGGGGCTAAGACAAGACTATGGGAGCCCCTGGATTAATCACCTCAATCGAAACATCTTTCATTTGCCCATTTGAAAGCAATTTTTTGCCATATTTCCAGCCTTGATGACAAAAGAGAAGTTTGAGATGTGACACAGTGATTTTATACAAGCTCCAGCCAGCTAGGGAGTTACAAGGAGTTTCAAACTCCTTTAATGATGCTTAATAACACTGTCTTCTCCATTTACTCAGAACATCAGCCTGGTCTGAACTCAACAAAGTCAGGAAATTGAGGTCAAAAAAGGCCTGGAAAGTGTTCATGGTGTAAGACAGACATGCCAAGTTTCTTCACAACACAGTGACAAAAGATATGGCCTGGCCTCTGAGGTGCATCTCCCTGGTCATGTGGGCTTCAGGAGGAGGAAAGCTGAGATAGTTTTGTGCCTGGAAACAGGGGGACCAACAACACACAAGGTAGAGAAATCCAAGGGGAATCAAGCTGTTTCTCAGAAGAAGTCATCAGGATAGGTGATTTCTATCATTAACCACTTAGAGCAATGTCAGCCTTGTGTTCCAGAAGGTAATTAGGTGGGCATCCACCATCACATCTTTCTGTGCCTTCAGTGGGAGGTGCCTAGACCTTGTTGGCACAATTTGCTGAGCTGTTTTTGGTTTGGTCTTCTTGCTGGAGATACTGCCAGGCCAGGTTACATTTGTGTTCTCCACAGTCACATGCTCATGTTCTCCACAGGCTCAGTTTCCACCAAAGAGAACAACCCAACATGCCCAAAACAAAGGGCAGGGTACAAAGCCCTTCCATGCAAGCAGTTCTCACTGAAATACAGATTGGAAAGAAGGCAGGGAGGATCCTCCCAAAAAAGTGGTCACTGTGGTGTCCCCAACCCCCACAAACTCATCAGAAAACTAATTTCAAAGTGAAACCAACCTCAGAGTCAGAATGGGAGGTGAAATCAGATTGAGGAAAAATTCTTCTCTTCCTTCCTCATGTGGGGCGTTTTGGCCAAGGGAAGGTCAGTGGCAAGAATCAGGGCTGAAAGGGCAGCCTGGGGGAAATAATTCTGCCCTTATTGGCTACTTTTTATTAAAAGGGGCTTTCAAAGCAGACAAGACTCAAAAGAAAATACTCAAACAAAAGATGCTCTGCTGCACCACAGACTGACTGAAGGCTTTGGGCTTTTCCCTGAAAAAAACCCCATCCTAAATATCACCAGTTTAAGCAGAAACCAGACACTTTTGCAGGGCATTTGCAGGAACTGAAGGTGGCACCTCTGTTTTCAGTGACCAAAGATTTCCCTTTGTTCCTATAGGAGGAAATTTGCAGCCAACTGGGGTTTATTTTCTTTGTCACCTGCCAGGCAGCTCCAGTTTTAGCAGAGTGACATATGTCACCCTGTCAAGCCCTAATTTTAGTGATCGGTGTTGACCAAAGGACTGTGAGACTCTTGGTTTCATGTATATCTTATTTTAAGCTCTGCATTTCAGTTATTTTTAGCTGGTGACCATTCCTCCGCATTCTACTGGTGGCTGTGCCAAAATTTTGCAGTAATAGCAGCCCATATTTCAGAGTATTTTCACAAAAATATATCTGTGTTTTCCTCCAGGCTGGCTATGTCTTGTAGGGCTCTTGACAACATGCTATTGACACTTGAGCTTTACATCAAGACTCCCTGCACAGACTGATTTCTTTAAAAAAATAGTACAAAAGTGTAATTCCCCCCTCACTGCATTTAGGGAAGGGTTGATACAATTTAAGTGTACCAGAAAACAATAGAAATTCCCTCAAATAAAGCCACACAAGGTCATGACTCAACACACCCCACTCAATTAGTATATATATTACATCCACAATTAATACGTATAATTGCTAAATTAATATCAAGAGAAGAGGTCTTACTGTTTGTGGGGTGCTCGGGTAGCCACTGCCCTGGAACTGTCCTCCCACCTCCCTGAAAACTAGATTTTCTGGGTAGGAATCACAACCTGGGAAAGCAAAGGATGAAATATTTGAATATTGTGAAAAAATGATTAAACAAGAGGGCAAAATATTAAGCAGAGGATGAAGGCCTGTACTAGGAGAGGGTTTTTGGCAATGGCAGCAAAGCCACGGTGGGCAAACCCACTCCTAAATCATTTTTGTTGAAGGATGAGGGGGAAAACAGGAGGAATCGAGGAAAACTTAAGTGGGAATCTGAAGGCAGGACTGATGTCTAAGCTAGAACAGGGTTTTGCCCCAGTGGGTTTGAACATCTCCAAGAAAGGAAAAAACTAAATGAGATTTTTAGAGGTCGAACCGAGATGTGTCCAGGAAATGAAGGTGTGCTTGTTGACGGTCTATCCCCAACAGGTGGAGGTCAGCACAGTCCTGGCCCGTCCTTTTCCACTCCTGGGGGATGGTGACTCCTCTGTGCAAGATCTCACTGAGGGTTACTGCTACAACCCGGGTCTGAAAAGGAATAAAAAAGGGAAAAAGCAGTGAAACAACACTGTTGTTGGCCTTGCCTCCATTTCACACTGGCTGTTGCCATTTCCCTGTTAATTTATAACCTTTGCTTGAGTGCAAAAGTGTTTTTATACTTGGGCTCAGACAGAGTGAACTGGGGGAGAGCCATTAACATCCACTATTTAATAAGGAAAAGTCCACACAGATGTTAGAGATGATGTTGCAACTACCAAGAATCTGGCCTTTATGAGGAGGGGATTTCTAGACCCATCTCAGCAGTTTCAGTGGAATAACAAAGATGGACTGAGCAAGGATCAGCACAGCCACTGACACAGGGGTGGTTTGTGTCTGACTGCACAAAAAAAGGAGTAAGAGAAAAAATTCACCAGATCTCTCAATATACATCACCCCTAGCATGACCCTCAGATCTCCAATACCCATCTAATAAATGTCCCTCAACATACATCACCTCCAGATATTACCTCTATGTCAGGTGATAAACATCACCTGAGATCTCCCCAGTATACATCACCTGCTAGAGAGCTCCTCAGATCTCCAATATATGTCTGATATATGTCCCTCGATACACATAATCTCTGCCAAGTTCCTCTGATCTTCAGACTACAGCTGATATATCTACCCTGCTACAAACCATCTCGAGGCAGCTCCTCACCAGTACAGCTCCTCACCTCCTCCTCTGACAGACACATCTCTGATATATGTCACCTGGCTAGAGCTCTTCAAATCTCCATTATGCATCTGATACATCTGGCATGACACACATCCCCTCCAGAGAGCTCCTCAGATCTTCAATATGCATCTGATATACCTACCCTGAAATATATAACCCATTACAGAGCTTCTCAGGCTGTTGATATATGTCTAATATATATAGGTATGTACCTCTTGATGTGCTGAACTGCTGATTTGAATGTGTGTCTGATATATGCACCTCTAGTTACACACCACCTCTAGAGAGCTCCTCAGATGCTCCTTCAACTCACTACCAACAGGCACAGCACCTCCAGAGAGCTCCTCGGATCCCCAGGATACACCTCAAGGATGCACCTCTGCTACGTGTTACCAGCAGAGAGTCATGTCTTGTGTGGTGAGGCCAGCTGGGAGATCCATGAGAACTGTTTACCCCAGTTTTAATTCCATCCCAAACCCCTTGCAACAACAACACAGGCATTTTTGTGCCCTCACAGCCTATATCCATCAACTAAGACAGGAACACGAGTCCAAGAGACGAAGCTTGCATAGGAAGTGCCGTTCCTGGAAACCTGGACATCAGCAGGGTCATTGCCCAAGGAGAGATACGGAAACAACTGGGTGATTTCAGGGCAAAACAGAGCAGAAACCCCCAAACACAGAAAACTCGGTGAAAGGGACAGAAGGTCAAGGTGTCTCCTGATTTCTCCAGCCACATTAGGTCCCACCAAGAGATTTAGCAACCTCATCTGCGTTACACTCAATGCTCAGAAGGGCTTGAGTCCAAAACTCTTCCACCCAAACAGCAGGTGAGATATTAAGGTTATTTGTGGTAAAGAATCAAGGCTCATGCCCTGAAGGAGTATGCATGGGCTGACACCAAATACCTATTGAGAACCCGGGACTTGATTTTCACTGGATTTGTCCTGACATCGTGATAAAAAAGCTCATGTTTTGCAGCACTCCTTCATCCCTGTAAAGGCTTTTTTCCATCCCACAGGAAAGACTTCTGTCATCTGGGCTTGCTGTGTGAACGAAACATGAGGACTGGAAGAAAAAGAGCAGATAAATAATGCTCTGTCAGTGTTAAAACAGCTCTAGTAGACTGATTTTGATCCTTGGAGGTGAGCAGGGCTGATGTCTTGGATGTTGCATGCATGTAGGCCAAAGTATTGTGCAATTTCTGCACAAACGATGCCATTTCTGTCCCCATCACCAACAGCACCGAGAGCCAACCCCACCAGGGACATCTCCCCGAACATCCTTGCAGAGGGAGAGAAGCCTTTTTGAGCTGGCACACACTTTCAGCAACTTCAAAAGGCAGCCTTTGAAGTTTAGCAGAGGCCTTTGAAGTCCTCCTGCTGCAAAAGGGAACGGAGGAGATGCCTCCTCCAAGATGCTCCACCGCAGGCGATGCAAGCCAGTGAGACACACGGTGTCCCGGGCGCTCCTGGTTGTATTCAGCAGCTGCCTGGGTATCCTAAATGAGACACCATTTCTGGCAAGTCATCAGCTCCCCCAAATGCCCTAAATCCTGATCTACTTGACCTGAATAGCATCCAACAGCAGGGATGGGAGCCCAGTATCCTGGGACCTCAGCCTGTTCCCCGGTTGCAAAAAGCCAAGGGCAGGCCTGTTAATAAAGATTTAATGAAGTGCAAGGGAATGATGGTAAAGTTGTCATTTAGCAAAACAAAATCCAGGATTTTTGCAAAAAGTCTAGAATTTTGAAGCCAGGTGGCTTTTCCCAGCATGTCACTTTGCTTCTTCCAATGTGAGCAGACCGTGATGCTTCCAAACCCACCATGTCAATGCTGTTTAATTGTGACCATCATCTTTTAATAAATTTAATGCCAGCTCCTCTGACTTAAGTGGAAACCACAAGCAGTGAAAAACCCCAAAACCACTGGGTTTTGCTGAATTATTTTTATACCCCACCCAAGCTGTACAGGCCCCAAACTCCACACCCGTGGGGATAACTGAAGAAACCCTGTATGTGAGAAAAATAGCATAAACACAGAAATCAAAGCTCAAATTTCTGTTAACCCTTTAAGGAGCTCCAAGAGATGATCACAACTCTCCAAATACTTAGGCAACACCTGCTGCCACCTCTGATGAGGACTACTGTGTTAAAAACCTTCGGTGTATTGAGTTTTTTCCCCCACAGTGCAATTTCTGTAGCACCTCCAACTTCTGGGGAAGGGCTGGGGCTGGGTGTTGGGGATGCTCCAGGAGGAGTATGGGGATTTCACCCTCCCAACTTCCACGAGTTAAAATTGGGGATGCACAAACCCCCCCCATTCCTCAGAGAGAGTGAAAGATTGGAGACATGCCTGTACACGTGCAATATTTCTGCATTCTGCAAAGGCAAAGCTGCTTTGAGGCAAAACATGGCTGGGAGAGACAAGTCCAACAGTGGAGCCCCGCCCTAGGCAACTCACATTATCCAAAGGGATTCATAGGGAAGTACTGGACACCCCAAGCCAGGATGTGCACATGTGAACACATCTGGATGCAGGGAACAAAAGCTACGCCGTGCTGATAAATAATGGAAAGGCAAAGTGCCCCACAGAAGCAGCACCACACTGTTTGGCCCCGGGCGAGACGCAGGAAAATTCAGTACCCATGAGGTCTGGAACAGTGGGATTAATAACACATCAATTTTAATGCAGGGTGGCTTGTGAGGGTTTTTTTTCCCCTTTTTCCTTCCTTTTTTTTTTTTTTTTTCTGCTTCACAAACAGCAAAGTGAATGTTTGAGCATCTCGGCGGGGGGTTAATGAGGACTCTGATTAGTTATTCAGATTTGCCGATGCTGCCTACATCCATCCTCAGATGGGGGAATAACAGGAAAGGCTTTGCAGAGAAAGCTCTTAAAGACGACCTGCTTGGCTTTCACAGCTCAGGCTGACACAGGTTTTGAGGGGCTTATACTACAGGGGTCCCCAAACCCGAAATCCCAGTGCCAACTTTGGACTGGAAAAGCACATTTTCCCATCATTTGTAGGGATGCAAAAAGCTGCTACGTGCTGAGCCATGTCAATTCCTGTAAAGGTTCACATTTGGATTTGTGGAGGTTTTTTCCATGTTTAAAACAAATTCTTGGGTGCTATTTATAAAATTTGTGTACAATTATGGTCAGAAATGATGGATGGATGGATGGATGGATGGATGCAAGGATGCACAGATGCAAGGATGCATATATTTA